TGCTCAGGGGTTACTCCTGGCTTTGCACTCAGGAATTACTCCTGTCGGTGCACAGGAGACCATATGAGATCTGGGAATCGAACCCGGGTTGGCCGCGTGCAAAGCAAACGCCCTACTCGCTGTACTATCTCTCCAGCCCCACTAGATATGATTTCTTAAGTAACAAAATCCCGTTCGCAAATCCAAACATTTATTTCCAGAAGGGAAGTGACGGTCGGGGCTCTCGGTCTCCGCCCTCCACCAGTAGGGAAGTGCCTCATTGCTACTGGTTTTCCACAGAAGTCCTTGGCAGTGCTTGGGTCTCCAAAGGCTGCTGGGCATCCAGAGTCCTGCCCGGTGCCATCGCTTTGAATTCATTCCACCGGCCGCATATTCCTGGGTCAGCAAATCCATTCCCGCTCTGAGTCGGCTGCATCTGACTGTGCAGAACTCAGCCGGGCCAGGACTGACCAACTACACCAGAATTAATGCCGAAGTTGTGTCAGTGGCTCAGCTAACCTGGGCATAGCACAGGACCCTGGCGCTGGTGTCTTGCCCATAGGGCTGGTCTGCAGTGGAGGAGTAGACGTGGGTACGTCTGAGTAGACCCATTCTGTAACCCTGCGGTGCGCCTACTGCAGGATGCCCCGAGCTCCTGGGGCCTTCTACACAACACACTAGCTGGTGCCCACTGCCCGCTGCAGCTTTCCTTATCCAATTTCAAGCCCGCCCCTGCCCTGCCCCATGGAGTTTAACCATTGCCGAGGGTTCGTCTTTTCTACTGGTTGCATTCATTAATGCCACGGTCTGAATGAATTAAATATCAAATAATACATTTTGGAACATGAGTTGTTTCCAGATTCTGGCTCTATTGTGAACAGTGTTGCAATGAACATACAGGTGCAGATGTCACTTCTACTGTGTTTTTTTGCACCCTCGGGATATATTTCCAGAAGTTGTATTGTTGGGTCACATGGAATCTCAATTTCCAGTTTTTTAAGGAATTCCCATATTGTTTTCCAAAAAGGCTGGACCAGTTGGCATTCCCACCAACAGTGAAAGAGAGTCCCTCTCTCCCCACATCCATGCCAGCACTGGTTGTTCTTTTTCTTTTGATGTGTGTGCTAGTCTCTGTGTTGTGTGATGATATCTCATGGTTGTTTTGACTTGTGTCTCCCGGATGATTAGCAATGTAGAGCATAGGGTATTCTTTTTCATTGTATACTTCAGCAAATATTTCTTAATGTTTTTTCATTCCAGTCAAAATATCATTAGTAATATTTTAAAAAGTTTAAATTTGGGGCCAGAGGGATAGTACAGCAGGTAGGACCCTTGCATTGCATGTGATCAACTGGTATTCAATTCCTAGCACCACGTATGGTCCCCTGAGCACTTCTAGGAGTAATCTCTGAGCAATATCAGTGTGTCCAAAACAAAACAAAACAAAATTAAAATGTATCTTAAACATGAGCTGGAGAGATAGCACAGCGAGTAAGGTGTTTGCCTTGCATGCGGCTGACCCGGGTTTGATTCCTCCACCCCCTCTCCAAGAGCCCGGCAAGCTACCGAGAGTATCCTGCCTGCATGGTAAAGCCTGGCAAGCTACTTGTGACATATTCGATATGCCAAGAATAGTAACAGCAGGTCTCACAATGGAGACTTTACTGGTGCCTGCTCAACAAATCAATGAACAACGGAGGACAGTGCTACATTTCAGAAATATAAATGTTAAAAAGAATATTCTTGGGGACACTGAATGGAAAATTTTTGTTTGTTTTTGGGGGACTACACCTGGTGATGCTCGGGGGTTACTCCTGCCTCTGCACTCAAGGATCCCTTGTAGCTGGCTACTCATATAAGCAAGTCTGTATAAATCACTTTGCCCCTGGACTCTGTCTAAAATGAACTCTTTCTTGACCTCAGTGCATCTTCCAGGGTTTAGGGGATACCCCTCCCTGTGGGATAGAATTTAGGTCTTGAGTGACAGAAGGTTCAGAGATGCTCTCAGTTCATTTGTAAGTGCCGACCTGCCTCTATCCTTGTCTTCCGGCCTTGGACCTCCGTTTGTGGAGCTTCCTTGCCTGGTAGGTTTCTAGGTAGGAGAACTGATGCTTTCCTTTCTGACGTCTTGTTCCTCTCCCCTCCCCTGCCACACCTCCCCCATCACCCCCTCCCCGCCAGACTCCCAGTGGGAGGCGCATTCTGCTTCCTCTACCTTGGGACAATACTAGATGCCTAAATGCCTACCTAGATGACTAGCAGAGAGAGGCTTTGGGCAGATTTTGCTCTCAACCCAGTGGCTAAAGCACCCTTTCCAAGAGGAAACACCTGACCTAGCTACTCTCTCGGAATGAGAGGACAAATAATATCGAACACCCAAAATTGGCCGCAAATTGGCATTTGAGATGATCAGGTGTCTGGGTGTCTGTACAGAATGACCACTCTTTGCCAGCTGGAGTTTTTGGTGTGCGTGTCGAGCAGTGGAATCAGATTTACCTTGCAGGTCCATTAAAAGATGATGGAGGATTTGCCCCACCCCAGCCCAGGGTTTCCAATGCCTTCTTCTGGGCAGGGTCAGAGGGTCAGCGTTTCCCACAAAGTCCCGGGCGGTGTTGACGCTTGCTGGTCCAGGGTGCCACACTTCGCTGACAACCTCTTTGTTATAGTCTACCTCAGGCTGTGGGGGACATGATTGTCAGGAATCTGGAAAGACGCATGATGATCTTGCATATGTGAGAAACACGGTAAGAGTATAGCAAATAGCCAAAGGCAGTTGAACCCTAGAACTGGTCTACAGAACTGAGCTTACCAAGGTGGGGGTGCAGTTGGGTGACCCTCAGGGAGAAAGGGACTGGGGGGTGCACTGAGACATTAGGGAGGGGAACACTGAGCAACTGGAACATTGCATGCAATGTCAATAACAATAGAATAAATCCCAGTGCCTAAAGTAAAATATACAGATGGATTTTTACAAAGATATTCATAAGTTGATTGCAGCATTATATGCAGTAACAAGACAAGGAACAAGATATGGAAATAACTCAAATGTGCTCAGTGGTGGGTGAATGAATGATGAAATTGGGGGGTGTATGTACAATAGACTACTACCTAACTATAAGAAAATATGAATTTTCGCCCTTTGCTTCAACAATAACGGAACTAAAGGGTATCCTCTAAACAAAGTAAGTTGAAGAAGGACCAAAGAACTCGAGAAAGATGAGATCAAGATAATGAAATCAAGATATGAGCTAATGACTCTAGAGATGTGCAAGGAAAATGCGAAAAAAATCATCTTCTGAAACTTTTCAATGATGCGAACCTTGGGAAGTTACTGTGTCCTGCCCACTTCTTTTACCATTCCTATTGGTTGAAAGGTTTGAATACAGAAGATCTGTGAGGATGGGCTAAGAATTACCACCTCAACCCTGCCTTATGGTAGTATCAATTACCTCAGGCTCTGAGTTCAGGAAATATATTCAATTAAAGATAGTTCTGTTTGTACGCTTTGATTTTTTTTTTTTTGCTTTTTGGGTCACACCCGGCGATGCACAGGGGTTACTCCTGGCTCTGCACTCAGGAATTATGCCTTGCAGTGCTCAGGGGACCATATGGGATGCTGGGAATTGAACCCGGGTCGGCTGCATGCAAGGCAAACACCCTACCCGCTGTGTTATCTCGCCAGCCCCTTGTATGTTTTGATTTTAATGGCACAAATGGAGCCTCCACTTCGGGAATATCTGAAGTTATGTTTTTCTCATTTTCCTACCAACTAGCCATCAAATCTCCTGGGCTTGCACTACTTCCGTTGTCAGTTAAGTTTGTTTAAAAAGGTAAAGGTAAAGGCCCTCCCGTTGATCGTCGATTTGCTCTAGCGGGCCCAGTAATGTCTCCATTGGAGACTTTGTTGTTACTGTGTCTGGCATATCGAATACTCTCGGTAGCTTGCCGGGCTCCCGGAGAGGGGCGGAGGAATCGAACTTGGGTCGGCCATGTTGGCCGCTTGTAAGGTGAACGCCCTACCGCTGTGCTATTGCTCCAAGTTAGTTTAGTTTCATTCCTGTCCAAGAAAACAAGCTCATCTTTGGTTGCCATGAACCTGAAAAAAAAAAAACAAGGGCAAAGGAAATAAATATATGGCCATAAAATATGTGGCCAAACACAATTGCAAGCCACTGTTTTCAACTATTTTTCTCTTTGTCTCTCTCTCCTGGCACAGAAGGCTTTCAAAGTTGACCTTAATTGGCATTGGTATGTGCCAAGGCGTGAGGGCAGGACTTCTAAGAGACTGGTTAGACAAGCTAAGAATTAACAAACTTTGGAAATGACTTTTGTGGTTTTCTTAATAAGAGCATTTTCTGGCCGACGTAAGTAAATTCATGTGTTCTCTCTAAAGACACATGGGGATGGAGCACCAGAGAGAGAGCACAGCAGACAGGACCCTTGCCTTGCATATGGTTGACCTAGGTTCAATCTCCAACACCCATAGGGTCCCCTGAGCACTGCCAGGAATGATCCCAGAGCACAGACATTAATTCCTGAGCACCATTGGGTGTGGTCTCCAAATAAATATATAAGTTAAATAAAGACACTCAGATATTGATATTGGGAACATTGGTGCTGGTAAATGTACACTGGTGGAGGGATGGGTGTTGGAACACTGTATGACTGAAACCCAATCATGAACAGCTTTGTAATGGTCTATCTCACAGTGATTCAATCTGAAAAAAAAAATTAAATAAAAATAAAAGGAAAAGTTGTTGAGTGCTCCAAGAGCACAAAAGTGTGTTTGCTCTTGCCTGCTGCCATGGGGTTCATTAAACTTCCTTTATTTGTTTGTTTAGTTAGTTTGTTAGCTACTTTGGGGGATTTGGGACCACAGCCAAGACCCCAACCTGAGATTCTCAGGGGTCATTCCTGCTGGAGTTCAGGAGATCATAAGCAGTGCCGGGACTGAACTGGGATCAGTCAGCAGTATTAAAAGGCGTTGACACAAAATCCCTTTCTCTTTTGTCTCCTCCTAGGGCTGCATCTGCAAAGACAAAGGCCAGTGTTTCTGCGGAAGCACCAAAGGAGAAAAGGTAAATGAACTTGCATGTGGCTGCAGAAACTAGGGTTTCTGCAGAAACTGCGCTAGGGTTCTGAGGAATCCACACTCTTGCTTATTAGCCAAAGAAAGAAAGAAACTCCCGGGTCCTTCCTTTTCCCAAGTTCAATTTTAAAGTATAGTCATAAATGTCTGAAACTGTATCTTCTCTGAAGCTGCTTATACTTTGTAAATACTGGCATTATAACTCTCTAGGACTTGAAAAGAAGAAGTAGCAAGTGAGCAAAAAAAAAAAAAAAAACGCATAAGCAATGTCTATGTATACCCCGTTTGGTAACCACTAGCAAACAGCTGAAAACAAGTTGATTTGCTTACTTTGCATAAGATAAACATTGAGACAGGCCTCTTGTCCTGAAGCATTAGTGCGAAAGCGCCCTCTGGTGGCATAATCCAGAAGCAGCACGCTTGACTGAGACCAAAAGTCAGCGTTGTGGAATTTAAGGTGGTGTGTGTGTGTGTGTGTGTGTCGGGGGAGGGGGGGGCAGGGAAGGGGCGGACAGGGGGAAGTAATGCCATGAAATGGCATGAATTTGCTCCATTGACAGGTAGTTTGTGATAACCAAGACAGTCAGAGCTAAGGTTTATTCTTAGTTTCCTCAGAGATAAATTGTTTAATAACAGCTTGGGAAGTCTACTGAGAAATCATTTTTTTAATCATATTTTAAGTTTCCTTAGATAAGATTATTTACATATAACATGATAATTATGATGATGATGATATTTATTTTATGTTATCTAATTCATGTTAGTTTCATATTTCCTCCTACATCTGTGATATGGCATATTCAGAAGTACATTAGAAAACTGCATTTATTCTTGCCCTGAAAATGCATTCAGTGAACCCCTTACACAGGCCAAATGCTATTCTAGAAGGTGTAATTCGATATTGAGGGGGATCTAGAAGAAAATCTTTCACTGTCTTTGTACTGCACAGTGTGAAATTACTAAAATGATTTTTTAAATGATAATTTGCTTGTTTAAGGTTAAACTGAATCAACCACAGACCTTTCCTGTTTAAAGTAGGTGTTGGAAGCTGGAGAGATAGTCTAGCAGCAGACCCTGGTTCCGTCCTCACCAACACAAAGGCCCCCAAACACTGCCAAGAATGACCTTGAGCACAGAGCCAGGAGTACCCCTGAGCATAGCTGGATATGGGTCCCCCCCCCCCCCATTAAACAGAGTAGTTCCCAGGATCACCTCCAAGGGAAGAGAATTCTTTGACCAAACCGTCTCACTCAGGAGACTCATTCACACCCACTGGGTGTAAAAGACAATAACCTCTCAGTAGATTTTTGTTTTGTTTTGTTTTAGCACAGCGGTTGGGCGTTTGCCTTGCACACAGCCAGCATGGCCAATTCGAGTTCGATTCTTCCGCCCCTCTCGGAGAGCCCGGCAAGCTACCGAGAGTATCTCGCCCGCACGGCAGAGCCTGGCAAGCTCCCCGTGATGTATTCAATATGCCAGACACAGTAACAACAAAGTCTCCAATGGAGACGTTACTGGGCCCGCTCGAGCAAATCGATGATCAACGGGAGGGCCTTTACTTTTACTAAACTTGTTTTTCTTTGGGGCTGCCCCAGGCAATGCACTGGGTGCCTTGGGAATCACTCCTGGCAGTGCTAGGGGGACTTTATGGGATTCCGGAGACTGAACCCAGGTCATTGAAGTGCAAGGCCAGTGTCCTCCCCGTGGTTCTATTGCTCTGGCCCCAGTGAGCAGATTCTAAATCCAGAGCCTGGCGGTGACTAGGCCACCTCTGAGATCTCTGTGGCACTTTTTTTGCCAAGAGCAGGCTGAATGACTAATTCCTGGGTAATCCAAAAGGGACCAAACCCAGTGCCCACATACTGTTCTTTTCAAGCTGCCTACAATAGTGCGCATTCCCCAAACATTCCTGCCTTACCTCCCTTTTCTTTCCATCCCAATAAATGCAGTTTTTTTTTAATCCCCTTCTTTCTCTCTGGGCTTTGCCCCTTGTACCTCATCTCCACTCCCCAAACTCCTCAGACTAACTGGGCCCACTGAGATGGTACCTCAAGAACACACATTCCGGGGCAGAGACAAACTCTTCTTAGTTCATTGTGCCTCACTGCTGAGAAATAATTAGTTTTTAATTCAACACAAAGAAAAGCAAGATGTTATTATGTTGGTTTTTTTTTTTTAAAGAGATGGTTGCGGGTGTTTTGTTAACTTCCAGTTGTTCTGTGTGTTTCTGGCCTTTTTCTGGACAGGGAGAGCAAGGTTTGCCTGGGCCTGCTGGTTCTCCTGGCCAGAAGGGATTTCCGGGTCCTGAAGGTCTGCCTGGACTCCAGGGACCCAAGGTATGACTCCTGCAAGCTTGGAAAAATCCCTAAACCGGCGTAAACTTTCTGCTCTCATCAGCGCTGCTGAAAACGTCAGGACAGTCCAGTGTCATAGCCTGGACGCATTCCTGCCCCTTCCCTGCGCCCTGCTTGGAGATCATGCAAATGGTCAGCGTCTGCTCCTGTCCCTGCCCAACTGCCTCCTTGGTTCCCAGCTGCACAGTCCCCTGTGTCACCTCTGAGTCTCCCTGCCTTGCTCCCCCGATGGAGCGTGAGTTCCCAACCCCTTCCTTTCCCTGCTTTCCGAGCTCCCCTATCCTGGTCTCCAGGATCACTACGTGAATCTTTTTCCAGCAGGTGTCTTCCTGCTCTCCTGCTGGGACATCCCCGCTTCCCTTCCCTCTTGGCTTTTCTTTGCATCCTTCAATGGGCATTTACCACCCGGTGCTAATATTCCGCTTCCTCTCAATCTTTCAGATGCTATAAGTAAAGGATTGCCATGTTCTTCCTGTCTTTCCTTTTCTGGTCGTTTCTTTTTACTTATTCTTTTTCTTTCTTTCTTTCTTTCTTTCTTTCTTTCTTGGTTGTTTCTTTTTACTTATTCTTTTTCTTTCTTTCCTTTTCTTTTTTCTTTTTTCTTCCTTTCTTTCTTTTCTTTCATTATTTTTCTTCCTTCCTTCCTTCCTCCCTCCCTCCTTTCTTTCTTTCCTTTCTTTTCTTTTTTCTTCCTTCCTTTCTTTCTTTTCTTTCATTCTTTTTCCTTCCTTCCTTCCTTCCTCCCTCCCTCCCTCCCTCCCTCCCTTCTTTCTTTCTTTCTTTCTTTCTTTCTTTCTTTCTTTCTTTCTTTTCTCTTCCTTCCTTACTTCCTTTCTTTTCCTTCATTCTTTTTTCTTCCTTCATTCCTTCCTCCCTCCTTCCCTTCCTCCCTCCCTCCCTCCTTCCTTCCTTCCTTTCTTTCTTTCTTTCTTTCTTTCCTTCCTTCCTTTCTTTTCTTTCTTTTCTTTTTTCTTCCTTCCTTCCTTTCTCTTTCTTTTCTTTCATTCTCCTTCCTTCCTTCCTTCCTTCCTCCCTCCCTCCCTCCCTCCATCCATCCATCCCTCGCTCCCTCCCTCCCTCCCTCCCTCCCTCCCTCTCTCCCTCCTTTCTTTCTTTCTTTCTTTCTTTCTTTCTTTCTTTTCTTTTCTTTTTTCTTCCTCCTTACTTCCTTTCTTTTCTTTCATTCTTCTTCCTTCCTTCCTCCTTCCCTCCCTCCCTCCCTCCTTTCTTTCTTTCTTTCTTTCTTTTCTTTTCTTTTTTCTTCCTCCTTACTTCCTTTCTTTTCTTTCATTCTTCTTCCTTCCTTCCTCCTTCCCTCCCTCCCTCCCTCCCTTCCTTCCTCCCTCCCTCCCTCCCTTCCTTCTTTCCTTCCTTCCTTCCTTCCTTCCTTCCTTCCTTCCTTCCTTCTTTCTTTCTTCCTTCCTTTCTTCCTTTCTTCCTTTCTAAGGTATTTTTGAATCACATCTAGCGATGCTCAGGACTTACTCCTGGCTCTATTCTCAGGAATTAACTCCTGGCAGTACTCTAAGAACCATATGGGATGCTGTGAATTGTTCCTGGTTTGGTGGTGTGCAGGGCATACATCCTACCTTCTATACTATCACCCTGGCCTGGTTGTTTCTTTTTAAAAGCAAACAAACAAAAAAGCCAGTTGATGGAGCCAGAGAAATAGTACAGGGGAAAGATACTTGCCTTGCAACCTTGATTTGATCCCTATCGCAGCCTAGAGTCCCACAAGTGCTAACAGGGGTGACTCTTGAGCACAGAGCCAGGAGCAAGCCCTGAGCATCCCTGGGTATGATCCAATCCCCAGTACAAACCGGCTGAAGATGCTGGCAGTGGTTCACCCCTGTTTGCTCCTAAGATAATCTGCCCCATCTTCTCTCCCCTGAACTCACTCCCGCAGGGGTGGAAGGCTGGACTGATCTGTCCCTGAGCACGGAGGGGGGACTCCTCCCCCAATAAATCAATAACCTGGTCTTCAGTGATGCCAGAAGCAAATCCCCAGCATTGAAGGGAATAAATACACACTGAAGATTCTCTCTCTCTCTCTCTCTTAAGATTTTATTATTGAATCACCGTGAGCTAGACCCTTGCAAAGCTGTTCATGATCAGTTCTCAGCTATACAGTGTTCCAACGCCCATCCCTCCACCAGCACAAGTTCCCCGGCAATTTCCAAGTACAAATGGCTTGTATTTTCCAAGTACCGTTTCTCAAAGAATTGCTCCCTTTGAGAAACGCTATCATTTTGTGTCAATCACAGGTACAATCTACTTTTCTATTTCTCCTTCTCCTGTTCCTGCAAAAAGTCACTCCGTTTCTATATGCACAGTGTCTGGGTGTCCTTCTCCACCTGTCAGCCCCACGCTTTCTTTCCTCCGGCATTTCTTTAGAGAAGCCAACGATAAACCAAAAGGATCATTTCAGTCACATGTCACTGAAGGTAAAAAAAAAAAAATAGCCGGCCCCAAAATGGAGTCACTTGTGCTAAGCCCACCAAAACTTTTAATGCCTATTTTAACTATGGTTTCAACCTTCCCCAGCAATGGGGCCCTAACTAGTAAGTATGAAATTTTCTGGTCAACAGCAGGGAGATTGTTATTTCCTTTATTCAAAGACAAGAGAACCAAAGCTTAGACCTTTCTGTATTCCCCCATAGATAGGTTCCTTAAGCCTGAAATCATCCCCTTTTACCTCATCCCATTTCTGCCTACAAACTACTTTCATTTGGTACAGTATTTTTTTAAATTTATTTATTTATTGAATCACTGTGGGAAAAGTTACAAAGTTTTCAGGTTTAGGTCTCGGTCATGCAAATATCAAACACACTTCCCTTTACCAATATTTATTTTTCACCACGAAGAACCCCAATAAACCCCCACCCCCCCACCCCCCCAATGCCTGTGAGGCAGATGAATTCTAGTTAACACTCTATCTACTTTGACTAGATTCATTGTTTCGGTAAAAGATGCACCATTATTATTTAGAGTTTACACCCCCAAATCAGACATGCTGAAAAAGCATTGTGAAATGATTTGCTTTCTACAGCTGGGTTCAAGAATTAAATGATGCCACGCGGCCTCTATTGCAGCCGCGTGGTTTTGGATTTCTGCTGTTTTACTTATTAACCCTGGAAGTATTTCTACTGAGAGTCAGATAATTAAGAGATTGGTTTCTGTGCTCTGGAGCCATGGCCGTGCCGGAGAGCCACTCGTGGGGGGCAACTGGTGACCTCAGTAGGGCTTGAAGGACGAGCCGGGAACGCCCCCCTTCCCATGAGGTTTTAGTCGCCCCATCACCACCGGCTCATACCTGGCTTTCCACAAGGCTCCCAAGTGGCTGCCATCTTTCTTTCCAGAGGAAAGAAGGCGGAAGGGACCAACACCCTTTCCCCTCCAGGCAGACATGGTACAGTATTTTGGAGCTTCTTTATAGTTGCTATGTAGGAAACTTCTGGATTCATGAATCATTTAATAAGACCAATTAGATCTTTAAAATGTCTCTCAGTTGGGTTTTAGTTTAACATGCATATGGGTCACATGCCATTTCCTGAAGCTAATCTCGAAAACCTGTGTGTCGTGTGGACCTGGGCATGCTATTTTTAATTTACCGAAACACTAGCAAGACATCATTTTTAGTGAAGCAAAACTATTTTTTGTTGAAAGGACTTTACTTAGAAAGATACGAGAGGAGAAAAGGAAAGAAATACACGTTCAAAGAATAAACAAGCCTGAAACACAAAGAATTCTGGTGACTTCATCTTGAATGAAAATTATTTTGTAAAGTAGCAATAAATAAAAATATAATAAAAATGTGTGTGCTGTGTGGTCACAGAGCTCATGTTTTAAAGAATAGCTTAGAGACATACCCACCAAAGATACTGGTGTCAAAGAAAGACAACTAAAGATTATAAAAACGGAGGCCAAGATGTAGGACAGGGAGCATGGCAACCTAAATCCCACCAAGAGAAGATCCCGGAGCCCACAGCCAGGGATAAACCCTGAACATAGCAGGATAGAGCCCCCAAATCAAAATAAAAGAATATAAAAAAATACCCTGTGAGATTTTCCAGACTTATACATTTCCTGGGCTGGAGTGATAGCACAGCAGGTAGGGCATTTGCCATGCATGTGGCTGACCTGGGTTCGATTCCTTTGTACCTCTTGGAGAGCCCAGCAAGCTACCGAGAGTATCCCACCCACACGGCAGAGCCTGGGAAGCTCCCCATGGCATATTCGATATGCCAAAAACAGTAACAAGTCTGACAATGGAGACGTTACTGGTGCCTGCTCGAGCAGATTGATGAACAAAGGGAAGACAGTGCTACAGTGCTATCCATTTCCTGTCTTCAGGTGAGATATTTTCTGCATGATATCATTTAAAGTGGGGGAGTAAAGCCTGCAAGCCACACTCCCGCTGGTCTTCTGCATAACACAATTAGTGCCCTGCAGGGGAAGGGAAGGGACTGATATAGGGCTGTAAGGGGGAATTCCAGCTCAGGCAGAACTCAGACCTCAGCTTTGGCTGTGCAGTCTCAAAAGACTCTTTTCTCACATTATCCAAAAAACACCAATGCTAACTGAACACCGCCCCCGTGGGGGGGAGGGGGGAGGGGAGGAGACAGGAAAATGGCTCTGAGACCATGCAAGTGACCCGTTAAAACCATTGTCGGTTAGAGTGATTCCCCAAGGAACAGGACCTCCCAGACTGTGTTCTTTCTGAGTTCAATCTGCATCCGTCCTGTGACCCGAGCGAGGTTATCTCTAGCCCAGACAGTCCTGACTTGTGCTGTGTGTTCATTTGTGCAGGCCAGGCACATTTTGCTAACAAAGTGCTTCTCAGAACCCAGGGATATTGGCTGCCACGCTGGCCTCTCATTAGCCGGCATCTATCATCCTTATCAGACCCCAGCAGCTGTCTGGGGAGTGCCAGGACTTTTTTTTTTACAGAGCCATTTCTCAGAGACACAAGAATCTTCTCATAAATGCAGATTGTGAATCAATAGATCTGAAGGTGGGGTGGAGCTGAGAGGCTGTACTTCTCATCAGCTCGTGGTGCAGTTAAAGGTGCAGTACTTGGGTCCCCCTTTGAAGTAGGATTTGTATGGATTTGTGTGTGTGTCCATTCTGGTGAGTTCTTTAATTTTAATGCAACAAGCGAGCAAAGCAATGGAACTGTGCTAACAAGAAAAATCATCCCATGGGGCTGGAGCAATAGCACAGCGGGTAGGGCGCTTGCCTTACACATGACCAACCCAACTTCGAGTTCCAGCATCCCATAGGGGACCCCGAGCATCACCAGGAGTAATTCCTGAATGCAAAGCCAGGAGTAACCCCTGTGCATTGACAGGTGTGACCCAAAAAGAAAATAAAAATGAAAGAAAGAAAAATCATCCCATGTGGAAAACTGATGTGTGAAAACAGAACTTGTTATGAATGGGTTTTTCCTTTGTGCCAAGTAATGTCCAGAGTGTTAACCTTTCATTTATTTCCGTTCGAATCTAGGGCTCTCCCGGATTCCCTGGACTCACAGGTCCCAAAGGCGGAAGGGTTAGTAGTCCAATAAGCACAACCCTGTGGCTTGGTGAGAAGTCTCTGTGCTGTGAGCTTTCTGCAGGGTCAGAAGGGAAAGCATTGCATTCTGTGTGCTCTGTAGATGAAAGGCAAGAACAGGCAAACCGACCTATCATGGTAGAAGTTACAACTGTAGCTTTGGTTGGGAACCAGAATCAGTTGGATGGGGAAGAGGAGGGAATTATTGGAGGTGAGCTGGGAGGTTGGGGTGCTGGGAATAGCCTTCATGTGGTTGAGTATGATAGGATCACATGTACAAGCACCCGTGAAACTTTTCATGGAAGATCGAAGTATCTTAATGCAACTAAATGTGCCCTTTTAGAAACTTAGATGAGGGACTGGAAGTAAAGCAGGTAAGACACTTACTTTCCACAATGCTGATGCCAGTTCAATCCTGGGCACTGCATATAGTCCCCTGAGTATCACCAGACTGCTTCTTGAACACAGAGCCAGGAGTAAGCCTGGAGCAGTGCTGGGTGTGCCTTCTCCTGCCACTGCCAACCCTACCCAAAGTCACATGTAGCACTGTAGGACTGTCCTCCCATTGTTCATCGATTTGCTCGAACAGGCCCAGTAATGTCTCCAATGTGAGACTTGTTGTTACTGTGTTTGGCATATTGAATACATCACGGGTAGCTTGCCAGGCTTTGCCATGTGGGCGAGATACTTTTGGTAGCTTGCCACGCTCTCCGAGAGGGGCAGAGGAATTGAACCCAACTCAGCCGGGCTGGCTGTGCACAAGGCAAATGCCCTACCGCTGTGCTATCGCTCAATGTCTTAAAATCAGTATTTTGTTTTTGTTTTTATTTTTGGTCACACCTGGCAATGCACAGGGGTTACTCCTGGCTCTGCACTCAGGAATTACTCCTGGCAGTGTTCAGGGAACCATATGGGATGCCGCGGATTGAACCTGAGTCGGCCGCATGTAAGACCAATGCCCTACCCGCTGTGCTAGCACTCCAGCCCCAAAATCTAGTTTTTAAAGTTATGTGAATATTAGATGGCCAATGGTCTGCCACATCTCTATTGTTTTTTAGCCAATTCTGAGTGAGTTTTGGGACAGGACCATGGTCTGGGTAAGACATTTATGTGTGTAGGTTGCATTTTAAGTGTTTTTCTTGTCGTTCTTTCTGTCTCTAGGGGATAACTGGATTGCCAGGATTTTCTGGCCCTCCTGGACTTCCAGTGAGTACTGGGGAAGAGATTTGACTGGAAAAAATGGGGAATCAGCTTGCTTTAATAAGGCCGGCAATATAACAATCCAGATAAACCTGCAACCTATGGAAAACAGTTCCGGGGAAGCACTGAATCTATTAAAGTGCGGATATGCAGAATATGCAGATCAAACCATATTTTCTGAAAAATAAGCAGAATAGTAGGAACAAAAAGGGACTGGAATGGAAAAGAATAGAAAAGAATCGCTCTGTTTATTAGCATAGAGCAACCTTCAGAGTTATCTTTACTGACTTCTTTTTCCTTCACCCCCCCCCCGCCATGCCCTGCCTGGACCCCAGCATATTAAGGGACTCTTCCATGTATAAATACCTTCCATTTATTTGAAATATCTGTCTTGATCATTTTAAGTGGGTCTACTCTATTTGCTATGGTTTATTCAAATTGCCACCTAAATGAATCAGCTATTTAAATAAGAAAATGCACTAAATAACGATTGCTTTGTGCTTTTCTTCTGCACCTTGCTTTCCTGTTACCATCTCATCTGGGATCTAGTCCTAATGGCTCCTTTCTGAGACTTCTTCTGTTTTCCAGGGTACCCCAGGCCATCCCGGAACTTATGGACTTCCTGGTGTCCCAGGGTGTAATGGTTCCAAGGTATGTCCCCCTCAACCTGGAAACGATCAACTAAATATTTTGCTGAATGAATAAATGCAGAAGCAGAGAGATGCACAAAGCATTCCTTGGAACGTTTTTTTAGTCAGCACCAATAGAATTTGTCTTCAGGGCAGAAATATAAGTATTAATCCAGAAACTTTCCAATTTTCCCTACATATTGTCTTGCTTTCTGAGAGACTGAAGGGAAAGGTCTCTCACAATCTGCCATTAAGACCATCACTGGGCGTTTATTTGCATCTGAACTTGCGAGTGCAGGGGAATCAGAAACTGAAGCTTGGAGTATAAACTGGGTTTTTGGAAGATGACTGATCTTTTCAGTGTTGACTCAGGTGCTTTCTCTCCTGGCCTGGTTGCAATGCAGGAACTAATTACTAAAGTTCAAGAAAACAGCAATTAAAAAGTTCTTGGCACAATTAGACTTTTGCCATCTATGCAAAATTCTGAGAACTAGCATATTCTAGTCCTGTTTCCAATTACGATAATGGTTTTCTGTCCTTAGTCTCAGGATCCAGAGCCAGAGGAATTTGGGTTTTCTTGTCCGGCTTGACCACAGCAGGGTTGGAAGAGAAGAGAGAGTGAAGTTCTTTCAAGAGGCCTTTAGGGAACAATTAAAAAAACAGGAGAAACTTTGTCTCTCTTCCAGGGTGAGCCAGGCTATCCCGGACTTCCAGGAACACCAGGGTATCCAGGTTTCCCGGTAAGTCCACATTCGTAACCCTCACATGATCCAAAATCCAGCTTAGAGTCAAGGGATCACTCAGAATGGCCCTCTGAAGAAATCCCTCGTGACCACAGGAAGTGTTTTAGTTCAATATCAAGAGGGAGAATGAATAAATAAGTCCATCATGAGTAAATGCAGTAAGCTCAGGTGTGCAGGTTGAGGCTTCATTCTGGTCCTTGAGGTATCCATGCAGAGATGCACTGGAGGCTGTTAGATTCCCTAAGGAGAGGGATGAGGGGCCAAAGTTATAGCATAGCAAGTAGGGTATTTGTCTTGGGCTGACCCAGGTTCGATCCCGGGCATCCCATATGGGCTCCTGAGCACTGCCAAGAGTGTGTGCAAAGCTCAGGGGAGCACTGCCAGGTGTATCCCCCAGAACAAAAACAAAAAGAAAAGGGATGCTAGTGACTCAAGGAATGAGGCTGGGGAATCTCTAGTGTGTAAGGTTCAGATCAGGGAGAAGGAGCCTGTGGCAGAGTCCCTTCACTCACCCCTGGCAGAAAAAACCAAGAAGCCCAGGGAGATGAGTTTCTGCCCAGAGGAGAGTAGAGAGCACCAGATGCTACTCAGATATCCAGTAAGAGGAGAAACAACATCTGTCATCGATTGTGCAAAGTCATGCCAGATTTGGCATTGGACAAGGAGAGAGGTGATGGGTGATGGGTAGCGCCAAGAGTCACACGTGGAAATGAGGAATGAGTGGAAGATGCACGGAACAACAGGAAGTTTGCCGAGGATTTGCAGGAGAGATGGGAGGCTTTGGGGCAGAGGTAAATAAAGGGGAGACTTGGATTGTTTAATGAGAAACTCAAGTTTGCTGAAAAGCCAGGGGGCCAAAGAGATCACACAGGGGTTAGGGCACTTAACCTTGAGGTGTTGCTGATTCGCGTTAGATTCCTGTTCCTGATTGTTCTCCCGAGCACCACGAGTTATGACTCCTGCGCACAGAATTAGGAAGAGTCCCTGAGCACTGCGGGGTGTGGCCCAACTCCTGCCTCCCCGATTCCCAAATTATAAGGAAGCATGCAATGGGGAGAGAAGGCAGAACTGACAATGCAAGGATGCTGTGCGTGTGCGTGTGTGTGTGTGTGTGTGTGTGTGTGTGTGTGTGTGTGTGTGTGATTTACCCCGAGGTGAGTCATGGGTCTCTTCTTTCCTAGGGTGCCGTTGGTCTGAAAGGAGAAAAGGTGAGTCATCCATGACACAATGTCACTTGTCACTTATTGTCCTGTTGTTCGTAGATTTGCTCGAGCGGGTGCCAGTAATGTCTCCATTTGTCCCTGTTGTCTGATAGTGTAGCCCAATGGTGTACTGGGGGCTCTTTCGGGGTCAGGGGAATGAGACCCATTATTGTTACTGTTTTTTGGCATATCAAATACATCACGGGTAACTTGCCAGGCTCTGCTGTGCGGGTGGGATACTCTCAGTAGTTTGCCGGGCTCTCTGAGAAGGAGAATCCCCATAACACAATAGGATTGAAAATCTTTAATTGCACATCTGAGAAGAGTTTCCATTTCATAATAAGTTCATGGGTTTTTAAAAAAAAAACATGTTACCAAAATGACAATTTTAATAGATAATAATTTATTGTAAGTCATTTCACAGTTGATCAGAGATCACAATTTCAGGCATGACTAGAACAACTTCCCTAGGTCACTGTGTAATATGCTATAAAGATACAATTTCGTATCAGCCCTTAAGGAAATCAGCTCAAGGAGAAAAGAATCACATTCATGCGCAGAAACCCACATTCGAAAATAGCTGCGAGTATTGGCAGCTTCAGAAGTGACTAAGCATGGTTGTGCCTGTTCATTTTATAAAATTTGAAAATGCTGTCGATTCTTCAAAATGGAATAGCCACATAATACAGTAAGCACATAATTCTCTGAGCACATATTCCGAAAATCTCTTTTATCCTAGAAGCAGTATATTCTTAAGTAAACATTTAAAAGAGTTGTTTTTTTGGGTGGGGGAGGAGGACGGCTGGAGCAATAGCACAGCAGGGAGGGAGTTTGCCTTGCACGCAGCCGACCCAGGTTCGATTCCCAGCATCCCATATGGTCCCCTGAGCTATGCCAGGAGTAATTCCTGAGTGCAGAGCCAGGAGTAACCCCTGAGCATCACCAGGTATGATCCAAAAAGCAAAGAAAAAAAAACAGGTTTGTTTTTTTTTTAAGTAGCTAATTCTATTTGATCAAACTGATTATCTCCTTCATGTTCCAGGGTGAACCAGCTGAAAGAGAAGGTATAGAAGGTGACGGGAAAGGTGACCCTGGATTACCAGGATCTCCCGGATCCCAAGTATGACCTTCAGACAAGATCCCGAGTTCTCTCTTTGTCTTCTCTCTCTCTCTCTCTCTCTCTCTCTCTCTCTCTCTCTCTCTCTCTCTCTCTCTTTCCCGGCTTTATCTTTTCCCTTTCTTTCTCATCCCCTGGCCTCCTTTCTGCTTAAGAACATCCTAATAGACATTCACAATTTTCAATTTATCCATTTACCTAATTTCATTCGAAGGCATTCACTTTATTATGAAAAACTGCGTGACATAGATGTAAAAAGATAATTGGACACTTTTATATCTTTGCCCCTTTAAATCTCAATCTCCCAAGCATTTTTAAACCTAAGCAGTCTCCCCAGAGAGTTATTTTCCAGGTAGCATGTATTTATGGAAATATCTTTATTTATTTTTCAGTAATATCAGCAGTAGTAGCAAACACTTCAGAGGCCAGACAGTGAAGCAGCAGACCTATAAGAGGATGTCCAGGCAATCTGGGCCCTTGACGGAGCCCTTGAACGTGCATTGCAGATGAGCTCCGTACAACACTGAGCACTGCTGAGCATAAAACAGTGGGAGATTCATTTGCACAAGAAGTGTTAGGTGCCAGTGCTATTCTGGGCTGTAAGAATAGTACAGCACACAAATCTGCCCTCCAAAAAATGTTACTAAAACATCTTGTCCCGTAAAGCTTATTATGCTTTAGTAGTGGGAAATGCCATGGGAGGGAATGTACGTGGATGGTGTGTTGATTTTCATCAGCATCAGGAGAAAAATAATGCAGGGGGAGGGGAGAAAAAATTTCCAGGCCAGGAGGAAGCTTGTGGATGTAGACTGGGAGAAGGTCTCACAGAAGGATGCCATTTGAATAGAAATAAGGAAAGGGAAATGAGTTGTAGAATTATTTGAAGAAAGAGTATTATAGGGGCTGGAATGATAGCACAGCAGGTAGGACGTTTGCCTTGCACACAACTGACCTGAGTTCGGTGCTGGGAATAAACCCCAAACACCGCCAGGAGTGATTCCTGAGTGTAGAGCCAGGAGTAACCCCTGTGCATCGCCAGGTGTGAGCGAAAAAGAAAAAAAAGAGTATTATAGGCAGAGAAAGAACAGTAAACGACCCTAAAGCAAAACATACTGGAGCTGGAGAGATAGCACAGCGGGTAGGGCGTTTGCCTTGCACACAGCCAACCTGGGTTCGATTCCCAGCATCCCATATGGTCCCCTGAGCACTGCCAGGAGTAACTCCTGAGGGCAGAGCCAGGAGTAACCCCTGTGCATCGCCAGGTGTGACCCAAAAAGCAAAATAAATAAATAAATAAAGCAAAACACCCTTTGCATGCTTGCCAAAGAGGAGGGAAAGAGTGAGAGAATAATAGAAAGAGAGAGAGAGAATATTATTTTTAATTCTGAAAAATTCTGCAAAGCGTCATTTTTCTGGCCATGCCACCAGCTGATGATTCTGGAAGCCCCAGGCATGTGGAAAAACACTTAGTGGCACTGTTGTAATTCACTGGAACCCTACATGGGACGGTTTGATCCCTTGAGCCACAGGTGGTTCCTTGTACCTCTCCAGGAGTGATCCCTGAGCTCAGAGCGCTCCTGGATGTGGGTCAACACCGAAAGTAAATTTTTTTTAATGCATTTAACTAATAGATATTGTGTTTCGGGATGCAGCAAACTCAAACCTGCTCTGGTTCTTCTCCGACGTGCAGGGCTCACCAGGGCTGCCCGGTTTTCCAGGACCTGTCGGCCCTCCTGGTCACCCCGGACGCTCTGTGAGTACAGAGTCAGTGTGACTCTACCTTCTGTCAACGAAAAAATTCTAGTTCAAACTTTGAGACAGCATTTTCCAGCTAGTTTTCCTGGTGTAATTTTCCTTTCTGGCTTTTTCTAGGGCTTTCCGGGAGCCAGAGGACCTCCAGGACCTAAGGTAGAGATTCCAGTCAGATCCCCCCCTAAGCAGTGTGGGGGTCACAGCTGCTCTGAACATCCACGTAGGTCACTGCTGGGTCCCTCCTAAAACCTGAGAGTTGCCCCCAGAGGAAAGGGGTGGTGGTGGCAGCTGTGACGGGGTCTCCCTTCTCTCTGAACCTCAATAAATTGCCCTTCCCAACCTTTGAATCCAATCACAAGAACTCATCTGTAGGAAAAGCGCAGGGATTCCTAGTCCACAGCTTTCCACTGATGACAATGCCAGTAATGGCCCATCGCTACATCCTACACATTTGGAGGTGGCAGCTTTGCCAACACCCCGAGAATCTGCCCATCAGTACCAAACAGGACTCATGAGCCCAGGCCGGAATCCTGTCCACCTTCCTGTTGAATAGCCTCATCGTTCATGCTCCTCTCTGGCCTTCAGTGCTACCACAGCTGTTCATTAAACAAAGGACAGATTGGCAGGATAAAAAGATCACACCTGAGGCCTAAGCGATAGTACCAGGGTTAGGCACTTATTTTGCACGTGGCCAAACCTGGATCGACCCCCAGCACCATGTATGGTCCCCCAAGCACTGCCAGGAGTGATTCCTGAGCACAGAGTGAAGAATGAGTTCTGACCCAAGTCAGGTGGGGCCCCTAAACAGAGCTACACAAAATTTCATCTGCTCGTGGAGTGGGGTTAGGAATGAAACAAAAGCCCCAAAGACACCGTCAGACCCAGAGATATGGACACTCATATACCGAGGAACATAAAAGTGCAGAAAAGGGAGTAGACTGGGGAAAGGGTTTGGAATTTCTTGGGCAGGAAATTTTAGGAAAATAAATAGAGGGACGTAACTGAGGGACACGAAAGGGTATTTGCATAAAGTCTGTTCATGCACGCAGTCCTTTTTTTTTAAAAAAAAATTATTTTATAAAGTAGTTCATGGACTGGAGTGATAGCCCAGTGGGTAGGGCATTTGTCTTGTACGTGGCTGACCTGGCTGAAACAGGTTCGATTCCTCCGCCCCTCTCAGAGAGCCTGGCAAGCTACCGAGAGTATCCCGTCCACACGGCAGAGCCTGGAAAGCTCCCTGTGGTGTATTCAATATGCCAAAACACAGTAACGTGTCACAATGGAGACGTTACTGGACCCACTCAAGCAAATCAATGAACAATGGGAGGACAGTGACAGTGAAAGTAGTTCACAATATTTGATTATATTTGATATTCAAACACCAATCTCACCACCATTACACCTTCCCACCACTATATTTCAGATGTTTCCATCCTGAACCCCAATCCCTGCCCCAAAGCAGAGCCAAAATAATATATTTTGTCTTGTTTGTTATGAAAAACCGCTGAAAAATGCTACAAAAAAGTATCCTTAGAGAAAAGAGTGTGAAAATAGTTGTATTTCACCCAGGGGCCATTAAGTCCTTCTCTAAGAGAACACTAACATGTTGTTAATGGCTGAGCCTAGTATCACAAATCAAATCACAAATCATCCTGTTAATCGTCGATTGCCTCAAGCAGGCCCCAGTAACATCTCCTTCATCCTCGCCCTGAGATTATATTCAAGGCTCTTTAGGAGAATGAGAACCATCATTGTTACTGGTATTTGGCATATTGGGTACACCACGGGGAGTTAGCCAGACTTGCCGTGTGGGCAGGCTACATTCGGTAGCCTGCCATTTTGTCCAAAGTAGGAATGAGTCTCCTGCCCCCGCGCCTGACTGTCCTCGCCGGGGCCCCTTGGAGGGGAGCGGGTTGAGCTTTCCTCCCCGCTCCGACCAGGGCTCTGGCAGCCAAAGACCTCCAGGACCAGCCACCACCATGCTGAGACCACTCTCCGCACACATGAAGGTACTGGCAGAGGGACAAAGTCACGTGGGTTCTGGGGCCGAGATCTCCAAGCCTACTCGGATTTGGGCCGAGCATCCTCCACCCAGATCCTCCAAATTCCAGTAGGCGGGGGTCACACCCACCAACTGGCCCCCTGGCGCAGTGTAATCCCATCAACTGCCAAGACTCAGAGACTATAAAAACCAGCTCCCGGAACCGTGCGGCCGCATTCGCGGCCACGGGACATCCATCCTATTATGAGCCTAATATATATATATGTAAAAAAATATATTTCCTTCTAAGATTGCTGTCTCCTACTTTGAACCCCATATGTACACAGTCCTTGCATCCAATGAGAAATCAGTTGTTTTTCTCCTGACACAGGAGAGCGAGTCCTGGCAGCCTCACATGGGGAAATTCAGTCCCAGCATTTGCTGTTCCCCAACTTTCTTCATCTCCAAATGTTCCTCATGTCGAAGGGTGGCCTACTCTGATGCCCTTGTTCATTTACTGAAAAATCTGTTAAGCGATGCTGAGTCCTACTGAAAAACGAGCCTTAAACAGAGCATCCCCCACTGCTGTTTGTAGAACCATCCCGGAGCAAGGGGGTAGGGAGTGGGTTCATCTTTCTATTTTCATAGACTTTCCCAACTGCATGTGTAAGCACATACACATGCATTTGCACACACGTCCACTCACGAACATGTGGGAGTGTATATGCATGCACGTGTACACATCCACTCATGTGCATGGTGAGCGTACACACCACCACTCACACACTCAGAGACACATACAGTTTCCTACACACACATCCTGAGAGATTAAACTTAAAAGCCGTTGTCACATCATAAGGGCAGTGCTGAGGCTTAAAGACTTTTGATTCCTTGAGTTTCTGCACCTTAAGATTCTGCCTTTCAAAGAGTCACATTGTTGTTCCACTTCAAGAAGTACCACCCATGGGTGGGTGAGTCAGCTGCCATGGCTAGTTGTGAGGACTACTAGCGAGGCCATCAGCGGGGGAGAGGGGTATAGGGGAAGATTTCTTCACAGGAACAAGGATGAGCTAGTGGAGACTGGTAAAAATGACAGACTGGCCATGGAATGACGAGAGACTATTGCCAGATTTGTCTCTTCTTGTTTTCTTTACTGTCACTGTCACTGTTCTCCTGGTATTTAACAATTTGCTCGAGCGGGCCCAGTAACATTTCCATTGTGAGACTTGTTGTTACTGTATTTGGCATATCAAATAATACGTCACAGGGAGCTTGCCAGGTTTTGCCGTGAGGACAAGACACTCTTGGTAGCTTGCCAGGCTCTCCAAGAGGAGCGGAGGAATCGAACCCAGGTCAACCGGGTCAGTCACATGCAAGGCAAACGCCCTACCTGCTGGGCTATCTCTCCAGCCTGAAATTCAGCGAAGCAGCCCTCCTGATTTTAACTTGAGAAAATTGGGTGCATTAGGAAGTTCAGTCACCATGCAGTAGAAACAAAACCAGCCAGTAACCAAGCCAGAAAACTGTTCTCTGAGCACTTTCCTTCCCCATTCTGGTTAAATCCCTTAAACTTACTCCCTGAGGTAGTCCAGAGATTAAGGCATTTGCCTTGCATGTGGCCCACCCAAGTTGAATTCTCAGCATCCCATGTGATTGCCCTAAATACTACTATGAGTCATCCCTAAGCAGGGAGCCAGGAGTATGCCCTGAGCATCACCAGCTGTGCTACCCCAACTCACCCACCCACCCACCCACACATAAGGAAAAATCTACAATAATTTTTCTAATTCTAAGATCAACATATCAGTATTCAGTTACAAATAATGGGCCTATTTATTCAGATTTCTTTTAGAAATAATTTTGTTTTGTGTTTTCTTCCCGCAGGGTTACATGGGCGATAACATGATAGGACAGAAAGGCGAGCAGGTGATGTATTTCATTTTGGTTATGTTCAGAGCCAGAAAGATGGGACTGTGGTCAGAGTGTTTGCCTCACACAAGACCAACCCAGGTTCTAACCCCAGCATTCCATATGGTCTCCCTGAATGCAGGGTCAGGAATGAGTCCTAAGCACCAAAGGATGTGGCCCCCAAACCAAAATAAAATAAAATAAAACAAAATCAGAAGAATACAACACTCTAAGTTGTAGCTGTTGTCATAGGCCGGGTACATTCAATGCCATAGAGATCAGTTTAGGCATTTTATTCATGAAGTCGCATGGTTGTTCGTTGTGCCTCAAATTCTCAATAGCTCAATGGCTTACGAAGAGGACAAGGGGCACCAGATCTTTCCAATCCTGTGAAAACAGTGTTGTTAGATGTTCATTTCTGACTGTATTTCTCTTTAGGGTATGAAAGGATTGACTGGACCACCTGGACCCCCAGGAACAGTGACCATCACTCTATCACGCACAAAAAACAGAACGGTAACGTTCCCAATTTCATACTAGGATTGTGTCTTCTCTTTTCGGCGATGAAGTCCTGCCAACCATCCTTGAACCTCTTTTATAGGCTCTGAGGCAAGCATCTTCCAAGAGTCTCAGAGGTAGAGCTCAGGTCTAATTTTGCTTCCTCTTCTTCACTTCCCTTCTCTGGGACCTAAAGCAGAGTGGACCTTCTGCAAGTTTTCTAGGGGCAAAAAAATAAAATAAATGTGTGGCTCCAATTGGATTGGGGTGATAAGGTGTCAAAATCCAGTGGTATATTTTCACCCAGCGATTGCCACCTCAAGCACATCCCTCAAAATATCAGCACCCTGTTCTTTGGATGTTAACTTTTACTTTTATTTTTTCCACAGTGGGGTATCTGGAAGGTCCAGATTATGGAACTGAATGGAATGTTCAAAGTAAATCATAATATAAAATTTCCAACTCCAGACACTAGTTTGATTCTAGACGTCTGGAGAAGGACTTAGCAACCAGGGTCTAGATAATAATTTTTTTGGTAGAGTAAGAAATAAAGATATCATAGAGGCAGGCTAGGGGAGGGGGTATGATGGGAGGGAAACTGGAGACACTGGTGCTGGGAAATGTACACTGGTGGAGGGACGGGTGTTGGAACACTGTATGACTGAAACATGAGCATCTTTATAAGGTCTATCTCATAGTGATTCAGTAAAATAAACTTTTTTAAAAAGAAAAAAGAAAAAAAATAAATCAAGTCCTTTCAATCTGGAATTTATTTGTTTTTATTTTTTTTCTTTAAATAACCGAGTAATAAAGTTGATCTTAAAGGGCCTCAGACTTTCTAAAAGACAACTTATTATCTAAAGATGAATCAGGATAATACCATTCTTCACGTATCCTCAGTGAGGCCCATGTTGTTGGTTTTTTTTATTAATTAATTTATTTATTTTGAATACCCATCCCTCTACCAGTGACCATTTCCGACCACCTCGGATCCCATTATCCCTCCCACCCACCCCCCCATCCCACCCTGCCTCTGTGGCAGGGCATTCCCTTTTGTTCTCTCTTTCCCATTGGGTGTTATGGCCTGTATAAGAGTTAAGCCTGGTTTTCAGAAAGAAACATTGGATTATTTACTTTCCATTGATCACCTTGCATATAGGGAGATGTCGCGCGGCCACGTGGCTGAGCAGTTTGGAGTAAAAGTCCTGGTTCCCGCATACTCGAGCTATGCTCATGGTCACCAGGGTTCCATCTGGAGGAGGCAGGATGTGGCACCTACCCCATCTGGAACTTCCCGGTGATCTCGGCTCTCTTCGGGACCTGGTTCATTCTCCGGGAGCTGTGGAGCCCCCCCCCCCCCCCGGTGGCCTTTCTTCTCTGTGGCTGTGTGCTGATCCTGGTTCCCGCATACTCTAGCTATGCTTGTAGAGGCTCATGGTCACCATGGTTCCATCTGGAGGAGGCGTGGAATTTGTTTTTAATAATAACTTCATTCATTCATTCATTCATTCATCATCCTGTTATTTGTCCATTGCCTCGAGCAGGCCCCAGTAACGTCTCTTTCATCCTAGCCCTGAGATTATATTCAAGGCTCTTTAGGAGAATGAGACCCATCATTGTTACTGGTATTTGGCATATTTGGTACACCACGGGGAGTTTGCCAGACTCTGCCCTGTGGGCAGGCTACATTCGATAGCCTGCAAGTTTGTCCAAAGTAGGAATGAGATAATAAGATGTCATAAAAAGATGTCCTGATAAGATGTCGCACGGCCGCGAATGCGGCCACGCGGTTCCGGGAGCTGGATTTTATAGTCTCTGAGTCTTGGCCGCTGATGGGATTACACGGCGCCAGGGGGCCAGTTGGTGGGTGTGACCCCCGCCTACTGGAATTTGGAGGATCTGGGTGGAGGATGCTAAACTCCAATCCGAGTAGGCTTGGAGATCTCGGCACCGGAACCCGCGTGGCTTTGTCCCTCTGCCAGTACCTTCATGTGTGCGGAGAGTGGTCTCGGCATGGTGGTGGCTGGTCCTGGAGGTCTTTGGCTGCCAGAGCCCTGGTAGGGGTGGGGAGGAAAGCTCAACCCGCTCCCCTCCAAGGGACCCCGGCGAGGAACAGCCAGGCACAGGGGCAGGAGACTGCACTGGTCTCGTCCGGGAGCTGGATTTTTATAGTCTCTGAATAATAACTTAGTAGAGAATTTATTTACTTGCCATCACATACCATAAAATTTACACTTCTAAAAGATTTAATTGGTGTTGGAGTGTAATACATCAGGTGGACGTTTTGCCTTGCATGTGGTTGACCTGGGTTCAATCCCTGGTATCCCGTATGGTCCCCCAAGAACTTCCAGGAGTAATTTCAGAGTGCAGAACCAGAAGTAACCCCAAGCATAGGTAGGTGTAGCCCCAAGAGGAAAATAAAATGATATGATTATGGTTAATAGAAAAGGAAAATACTAGTCACAATGATGGGTCTCATTCTCCTAATTCTGAGAGAGCATTGAAATGGCTCTTTCAGAATCTCAGGGCTAGGAAGAAAAAGACGTTACTGGTGCCTGCTCGAGGAAATCGACGAACAACAGGATGATCGTGATCAGGATCATGATGGTTAATAGAAATTGTACCAGTTTTATTGAGATAAAACTCACATCAGAAAATTCATGTTCATATGACCAAAGGCGTTCAGTACATTCACAGAACTTTGCAACTATTACATTTAGAACATTTTTATTACCCTGAAAAAAGACCTCCTCAACGAACACCCTCTAATATAATTTTTACTGATATGAATTATCAAAAATACTAAGAAAGTTCAGACAACTCATTTATAATGAAATTTCACATAACCAACATGATAATTCACATTGGAGAATTAAAAAAAAAGTTGACCTAAGGAGAAAGAAAATAAAGGCTTCTTAAAGGCAATTACCAAACATAAAATTAAATCATTACAAAACATTATTTCTTAATCTATTAAATCATGTCTAAAACGTTATTTTTCTTTACTGTCTGAGAGTTATTAGAAAAATTATTATCTTGGAGCCAGAGAGATTGTACAGCAGGTAGGGCATTTGCCTTGCATTTAGCAGACCCTGATTCAATCCCTGGCATCACAAAGCTTGCCAGAATTGATTGATCTCCTAGCACAGAGCAGCAGTATACTCTGAGCACCCCTGCGTGTAACCACAACAAAAACATTATATTTGATAAAAACCTAGATATGGAAGAATTGATCTCAGAGAGAATTTTGACATTGAAAAAGTTCCACTATCAGAGAAAGACTGACATTAGTTAAAATATGATCAATAAAATGTGATTAGGGCAAAAGCAAATCTGAGAGATCAAATGACTCAGGAACTAATTGATGGCGTTGAAACAGTTTCAGTATGTTAAAAAGGAAAGTAAACTGCATTAGAAATGATCTGCTAATGTGTATAGACTCTGACTCAAGAGTCAATGTACTGCAATTTGATCCAACGATACTCTCCTTAAAAA